CATTTGTTTTGTTTTTTGTTTAGATTCCACAATAAGTGAAATCATGTAGTACTTGCCTTTCTCTGTCTGACATGTCATTTAGCATAGTACCTCGAGGTCCATCCATGTTGTTGCAGATGGTAAGATATCATTCTTTTTATGCCTCAGTAATATTCCATTGTGTATGTATACCACATCTTCTTTTTCCATTCATTTATTGATGGGTATTTAGGTTGCTTCCATATCTTGGCTTTTGTGAATAATGCTTCAATGAACATGGGGGTGCATATATCTTTTCTAATTAGTGTTTTCATTTTCTTCAGATGAATGCACAGGAGTGGAATTGCTGTCATGCGATAGTTCTAGTTCTAATTTTTTTTAATTAGTTTTAATTTTTAGTTTTAATTTAGTTTTTATTTTAGTTTTTTTTTAGTTTTAATTTAGTTTTAATTTCTAGTTTTAATTTTTTTTAATTTTTTTAAATTAATTTAATTTTGGTTTCATTGGGTCTTTGTTGCTGCATGCAGGCTTTCTCTAGTTGTGGAGACTGGGGGCTACTCTTTGTTGTGGTATGCGTGCTTTTCATGGCAGTGGCTTCTCTTGTTGCGGAGCATGGGCTCTAGGCATGCAGGCTTCAGTAATTGTGGCACGCAGGCTCAGTAGTTGTGGCTCGTGGGCTCTAGAGTGCAGGCTCAGTTGTTGTGGCACACGGGCTTAGTTGCTCTGTAGCATGTGGGATCTTCCCACAGCAGGGCTCAAACCCACGTGCCCTGCATTGGCAGGCAGATTCTTAACCACTGCGCAACCAGGGAAGTCCCTAGTTTTAATTTTTTGAGAAATCTTCATACTGTTTTCCACAGTGGGTACAATTTACATTCCCAACAACAGTGCATGAGAGTTCCCTTTTCTCCACATCCTTGCTAACACTTGTTATTTGTTTCTTTTGATATTAGCCATGCTGACAGGTGTTAGGAAATATCTCACTATGGCTTTGACTCTCATTTCTCTGGTGATTAATGATGCTGAGCATCTTCTCACATGCATGCTGGTCATCTGTATGTATTCTTTGGAAAAATGTCTATTCAGATCCTCCGCCCATTTTTTAATCAGATTGTTTGTTTTTTGATGTTGAGTTGTATGAGTTCTTTGTATTTTTCAGCCTTTCTTTGTCTTTTGATTGGAGCATTTAGTCCATTTACATTTAAAGTAATTATTCATAGATATGGACCTATTGCCATTTTGTTAATTTTGGGGGATTGTTTTGTTGTGTAGTTCTTCTTTCTTCTTTTCCTCTCCTCTTTTGTGATTTGATGACTTTCTTTAGCATTATGTATGGATTCCTTTCTCTTTTTTTGTGTGTATCTATTATAGGTTTTGGTTTATGGTCACCATGAGGTTCATGTATAACAGCTATCTATCTATCTATCATCTATCTATCTATCTCTCATCTATGATTACATATAGATGTATATATGATTAATTGATGATCTCTTAAGTTCGAATGTATTCTAACAACCCTGCATTTTTACTCCCCCCTCAACAATGTTGAATATTTTTGATGTCATATTTTACATCTTTTTGTTTTGTGTAGCCCTTAACTACTTATTTTGTATATAGATGATTTCCCTACTTTAGTCTTTTGACCTTCCTGCTAGCTTTATAAATAGTTGATCTACTATTTTGCCTTTACCAGTGAGATATTTTCTTTCATAATTTTCACATTTCTAATTGTGGCCTTTTCTTTTCCACTTAAAGAAGTTCCTTTAACATTTCTTGTAAAGCCAGTTTCGTGGTGCTGAACTCTTTCAGTTTTTATTTGTCTGTAAAACTCTCCTTCAAATATGAGTGATAACTTTGCCAGGTAGAGTATTCTTGTTTGTAGATTTTCCTCTTTTATCATTTGATTATATTGTGCCACTCCCTTCTGGCCTGCAAAGTTTCTGTTAAAGAGTCAGCTGATGTTCTTATGGAGGTTCCCTTTTACATAACTAGTTGCTTTTCTCTTGATGTTTTTAATATTCCCTCTTAATCGTTCACTTTTTGCCATTTTAATAGTATGTGTTTTGGTGTAAATCTCTTTGGGTTCATCTTGTTTGTGATTCTCTGTACTTTCTAACTTGGGTGTCTGTTTCCTTCCCCGAGTCAAGGAAGTTTTCCACTATTATATCTTCAAATAAGTTCTCTGCCCCTTGGTCTCTGTCTTCTTCTTCTTGGACCCCCATCATGTGAATGTTAGTATGCTTGATATTGTTCCAGAGGTTTCTTAAACTATCCCCATTTAGAAAAACTTTTTTCTCTTTTCTGTTCAGCTTAAGAGATTTCCATAACTTTGTCTTTCAGATCACTGATCTATTCCTCTGCATCATCTAATCTACTGTTGATTCCTTCTAGTGTATTTTTTATTTCAGTTATTGTATTCTTCAGCTTTGTTTGGTTCTTCTTTATATTTTCTATTCCTTTGTTAAACTTCTCACTGTGCTCATCCATTCTTCCCCTGAGTTCAGTGATTATCTTTATGACCATTACCTTGAACTCTTTATCATGTAGTTTTCTTACCTCCACTTCAGTTTATTTCTTTTATGGAAATTTTGTCTTGTTCAATCATTTGGAACATACACCTCTGTTTCCTCATTTTGCCCAATATTCAGTGTTTATATCTGTGTGTTAAGTTGGTCCATTATGTTTCCTGATCTTGAAGAAGTGCCCATGGTAGGAAACATCCTGTGGTTCCAGCAGCATGCTCCCCTCTGGTCATGAAAGCTATATGTTCTATGGGTGCCCCCTATGTGCAATGCTTGTGCCCTTCTTTTGTGGTGGTATCAACTACTGTGGGCACACTGGTATGTGGGGCTGACAACTAGCCAAGTTGGCTGCTAGGCCATGCTTTGTACAGTAGCTGTGGGCCCACTGGAGGGCTGGGTAAGCTTCCTTCATGGTTGGCTGCACACGCAGGGGGATGTGGGGCTGATGCTGGCCCACTGAAGGGTAAGACTGTGTCCCTGTGTGCTGTCTGCATAGCCTGGTGGTGGTGGTGGGCTCGGCATTGGTGCTGGCCCACTAGTATGAGTGGCTGGGTCCCCATGGGGCTGTCTACATGACTCTGGGGGCTCAGGGTTCATGCAAGCCCACCGTAGGTCAGGGCCAGGTCCCTATGTGGCTGTGTGCATGGCCCAGAGAGACTCAGGGCAGGTGCTGTCCTGCTGGTGGGTGGGGCCAGGTCCCCACATGGCTGTGTACATGTCTGGGTTGGGTTGGGCTGGTACAGGCCCACTGGTGGTGATAAGCCTCCAGCACTAATAGGCTAGAGGGAGGATTTCCAAATGGCATTTGCTAGCACTGGTGTTGTCTCGGTAGAATGAGCTCCCCAGAGTGGCTGCTAACAGTGTCTAAGGGGAATCCCAGTTGCCTGCTGCCTCTCTGGGAGGCTCTTCAAGATCAGCAAGTAGGTCGGACTGAAGCTCTTTTCAAACTACTGCCTCTGTGCCAGGACTTGGAGCATATGAGACTTTGCACGTGCCCTATAAGAGTGACATTTTTTGTTTCTTATAACCCTCTAGCACTCCCGAACATAAGCCCCACTGGGTTTCAAAGCTAGGTGTTGTGGGGGCTCATCTCCCTGGAGCAGGACCCTTGGCTGGGGAGCCCAGTGAAGTGCTCAGTCTCCTCACTCCTCGGGGAGGACCTTTATGATTGTGATATTCTTCCTATTAGTGGGTCACCAACCAAGGCTGTGGGTCTTGACTATACCATGTCTCTGCCTCTCCTATTCATCTCATTATGGTTCCTTCTTTATCTCTTTAGTTATGGACATTTTTTTTTCTGCTAGTTTTCAGGTCATTTTCATAGGTAGTTGCTCTGTAAGTAGTTGTAATTTTGGTGTGTCCATGGGAGGAGGTGAGTTTAGGGTCTTCCTATGCTACCATCTTGAACACCTTTCCCTAAAAAGACAGATTCTTAAATTCCATTCCCAAGAACTCTCTGACATGTTGAGGCAGAGTCCAGAGGTCTATTTTTAACAAACCCATCAGAATATTTTGATGTAGCAGGACCACAGACCATATTTTGAGAAATGCCACTTTACCCTGTTGGTTCTTATTTTAAAAAGAGAACTTAGGCTAATTTTGAGACCATTACAACTGAAAAGCAGGCTTTGCTTGGAAGGTATCAGTGGCAAGGCAGAGAAAGAAAGCAAAACAAAGGATGGGCTTGTTGGCCGAAAACAAATAGACTGCCAGTTATTTCTCCAGCAAAAATGGTCTTGCTTGGGATCAGCAGAGAATTGCGGTTTAGGGTCTGCAGCCATGGTGAGCCACATGCAAGTCCCCGCATAGCAAAGGAAGGAGAACTCTTTTAACAGAAGGGAAAAGGAAGTTGTAAGGGCTCTAGCAAACAGAGTCCATGGCTTTTCCTTGCTGATTTGCTGCTAGGAAAGAAGAGTCTTTCTTCTTGCTCTTGAGCTCTGCTGTCATCACAGTGTGTGAAAGCTCCCCCTTCTGGTCTCCAGACTCTATTTAATTATTTAATTTAAGGTTTCTATTTATTAACTTTTACAAGGTAAATGAGATAAAATTAAGTAGAAAATTAATACTTTAAATTCAGAATCATAATTTATTAATTTCTTTGTTCTATGTATAGAAATGAGCCAGAAATATGCATTTATTCAAGAGACAAAATACCCGTTGTATACCTAAAGAGAGTTAAAATGATATTCCTGTTTTCTTATGGTGTGGCCCAAGTGGTTCCAAGGCTGGAACATGGCTATCCTAATTCCTAACCTTTCCATAACTTTCCTGTTGAAGAGTTAACAATAATTTAAGGTATGATAATTTAAAATAATTATAAGCAGTATATTTATATTCCCTTGCTTTACATAAAAAGGGAAGTCAGAGAATTTTAAATAATAAGATGTTGTAGGAGAGGTATCAATAATTTTTGATGGAAGACATGACTCATCTTTGCTAAAAGAAAAGTTTCAACTAACAATAAAATATCAATTTCTTTTTTTCTTTTTCTAATTTCAGAAGTAAAATGTAGCCTCTCACAGATTATGAATGGAATCAAGAAGGAACTGAAAATAAGAAAAGTATATCACTCTGGAGATAATGTAACTTTGGAGTGTGAAGATGGGTATACTCTGGAAGGCAGTCCCTGGAGTCAGTGCCAGGAAGATGACCTGTGGGACCCTCCTCTGGCCATATGTACCTCTCGTAAGTGCAAGTGCAAGGAATGTAGGTCCTTCCCAGCCCTGGTTACTGTTCATTCATTCATCTGTACTGACACTGAATGTGGTGGTGTGCCGTATGGTGTGCATTAGCTAAGAGCTAAGGAGTGCAGTAAGAGTCCCAAAAGCCCTTAGCAATGAGAATAAGGCAAGCCTTGCTCCTTACACTTCTTAACCCATCCATCTCTCCTCAGGGACTCCTCTGAACCTTTTTTGCCCATTATCACTCTATTGCTGCATACATTGCACAGTAATAATTTGATTACATCCTCTGGGTCTTAAAATTCAGTAGCAGATTAGTGGTAGAGCAGGCCTTCAAGAATGTTTTCAGCATGAGTCGGGGATCACCTTCCAACTTGCAGAGACTAGCTGGCCAGTCTCCCACACTGTGTAGACTACAGGATTTTAACATGTACATTTGATACAGTGATGTAGAAATCATGTGTCATTGAGATCTGTAGAAGGGTAGCCTTCTGCTGGCAACTAGAGGGTGATGTAAAATAGAAAATCCTAAACCTTAAACTTGTACACATCAAGTAACAGATGAGCAAAATGAATAATGAATAACCTTCCTTAATCTAAATTAGTCTTAGCCTTCTCTTCTCCCCCATTCTTATCACTCTTACTTAAAATATGTGGTTGAATACCAAGATTGTTCAAGATAAAATTTTTTTACAGTTAATGCCTTAAATGCATTAACAAAGCTCACTCGCAAATAATATTTCTAAATTATAAACTTGATACTCCCTTAATATCAAATTATATTCATTTCTTTGGCAAAAAGATCACTGCATATCTGAATGTCTTTTGAGTATTCTAACGATGTAGCTATGAGAGACAGAAAATTCACATAATTTGGGGGGACTGACTTGTCAGATATTAAAATAGAAAGTCACAATACAGAAATCATTTTATATCACCGAAAATAGACTTATCTTTATTAAAAATGGAATAAAGTAGATATTAATAAAATAGAGCTAGTATAAATAGAAATTAAAGTATCTTACAGAAAACAATCTAGTAATGGAGACATCATCAATCCAAGGGGAAGAAAAAGATGATCAAATAGTATACGTAGCACTGAAAAAATTTGGAACCTTTCTTTATATCTTACAATAAATACCAGATGTAATAAATAGTTAAAATTTTAAAAGTCAACATAGGAAAGCTAAAGTAGAAAAGGAAAAAAAAGAAGATAAAACAGCTAGAAAAAGAAAAACAACTTTTGGAAAATTTTGATATGATAGAGAAAATTATAAAAGGTCAACAAATTTGACTTAGAACTTATGAACTTTTAAAAGTAAATAAGAAAGCAGTAGACAGATGAGAAATACGTTAAAAATATAATGAAGTGTTAATAATGTTATACACGTAGCAGTAGTGTTGGTTGTGGTAATAACAAAGGTTGTAAAAGTTAACATATGTTGAACACTTAATTCAACTGTTCAAAGATTAGATAGATATTCTATAACTATGTAAAAACTTAGATGCATGAAAAAATGTACTAGAAGGGAATGTACTAAAATATTTCAGGATAGTAGGATTATGGATGATATTTTTCTTTTGTTCTGTTTTATAAACTTTCTGCTCTAATTATACTACTTTTATGACAAAATAGTAATTTTAAAAGAAAAAAACAGACTTTGATGAGTACACAAAATAATATGAGATTGTGTGAGTAAAACCAATGGCTTTTTATATTAGAAAAAAATTAAGAATCTGTACAGAAAAAAATCAGGATGAATTATAACTGGCTGAGAGAGAGCTCCTGTTTGATCATATTGTGTGCCAGACTGATGTTTTTTGTGGCTTTTGCTTCCTTTTAGGCACGAGTGATGAGCTCATAGCTGGTAAGTTTTATGAAGGGTTTGTTGAGGAAACATCCTTAACAGTATGTATCCACTGATAGTAAGTGAAATGTAAAAAGAGAGATCAAAATATCCTAGACTGCAATTTTAATTAGAAAGAAAAGAATAATGAATTCAGGCCATAGTGTAGCAAAACTGGTATCCTTATATGCATATAGATTGAGTGTCCTTTATCAAAGTTCCCTTACTATCTTTGAACCATTATAAAAAAAGAACCATTCTTCCTATTTTAATGTGTCTGGAGAAGGCAACTTGCTCTTTAGTTTATAACCTGGGAATAGTCTTCAGGATGGTAGTCATGCCCATTTGCATAAATTGAAAGCCACAAAGACCAATTTTCTAAGCCCATTTCTGTGATCTGCCTATGTGAGAGGAATAGTTTTGTGGTAGAGTTTCTAAGAGAATCAGTAGAGTCTGCTGCATAGAGTAGCTCGTGCCTTGCGTCTCACACAAGAGACATGCAGGGTCATGGCGAGCTGAGCAGAGGAGCTCCAGTGCTTGTTCTCACCCACTTATTGAAATGCTGCTGTTGGACAAAGGTCACAAACTGCTCTCTCACTGCTCATTTATTTCCCTGGGGTAATAAGACTAATATGCTAGATTAAACCTGGAGCAGAGGGGAAATCTTAAAGATAAGCCTGTGGGGGGTGTTTTAAAAAACAGAATTTATACTTACTTTTTATTGGTTTTTTTTTGGTTTGTTTTTTTTTTGCGGTACGCGGGCCTCTCACTGTTGTGGCCTCTCCCGTTGCGGAGCACAGGTTCCAGACGCGCAGGCTCAGCAGCCATGGCTCACGGGCCTAGCCGTTCCGCGGCATGTGGGATCTTCCCGGACCGGGGCATGAACCCGTGTCCCCTGCATCAGCAGGCAGACTCTCAACCACTGCACCACCAGGGAAGCCCTATACTTACTTTTTAAAAACTCATTGAGACACAGTTTGAAACCTACAGGTTATATTTTCCATGCATTTAATTACCATGTTTTACTGCCTAGGCATGTTCTTTGGTATGATCCTCTTGATTTTACCCATCATTGTTTCCTGTTTGATAATTCTAAAGCACAAAAAAGGGTAAGTACAGCCATATTCTCCTGGAATATGTTTATAACTCTATTTGCTGCTTCTTGGAAGCCAAAGAGATGTAAAAGATGTTGACCTAAAACAGAGACTGCCAGTTATTTCTCCAGCAAAAATGGGTTTATTTGGGATCCGCAGAGAATAGCAATGTGAAGTCTGCAACCATGGTGAGTCATATGCAAGTCCCTGCATGACAAGGGAAGGAGAGTGATTTTCTTGGGAGGAAAAGGAAGTTGGGAGGGCTGTAGTAAACAAAGAGTCCATGGGTTTTCATTGGCTGAGCCCTTTCCAGGAAAGAAAAGGAGTCTTTCTTCTGCCTGCTGGTCTCTTTTGTCTTCCTAGGGCAGGAGAACTCCCCCTTCTGGTCCCTCAACTCTATTTATTTGAGGTTTTGGGGGATTAATTTTTTACAAAGAAAACCTCAAAAAAGAAGTACTACATAAACAGAGGTGATAATTCTTATAAAGAAGGCTGATGACACATATTAGGCATAAAGAAGGATTTACACTATTAAAAACAACAAAATTCAGCGGGGTAAATTTGAAGATCTAATTGGCTGTATTAAAAGATTCATGGATTGGGCAGCATCCCATTTAGCAACTAGAAGGATGCACAGAGGAGTTGTACAAACGGAAGGTTTTCATAGAAAGAAGGGTGGGGCAAAGGAGCTATTCCGGGAAACGAAGATTATTTTTAAATCAGGACATCTTCTTTGGAGGCAGGGCAGAGGTGTTAGACAGCAAGGATTTATGAAATTGATTGCCTCTTCTTCCTCTGGGAGGTGGAGAGGACCTACGTAACAGATTACCTTATTGATGCTGACCAGAAAATTTCAGACTGGTTGATTAAGATTAATTTCTGCAGGTTAAAACTGCAATTAAGTCTTGGGATCAAATGATTCCATTTTGTGTCTGTTACTTTCTTTAAAGAAATATATATGATAAGAAGAACACTTTTTTTTAAAGCATAGAATTTATGAAGGACTCAAATTTTGCAAAAGAGAAAATAGAAGGAATTTTTACAAGGGTGTTGATGAGAATGTTGGTATCCTTGTTTTGCTAAAACATTTCAGAATCCAACCTCTATACACTGACCCTATCAGGGCACTAGAAGTTAGAAAGTGTGTCCCACTGGCACACATACCCAGGCTGTCAGTGTGGAAGAATTAAGGTTTTGCATGGGTATTTTTAAAAAATAATAATCTTTGAGATTGGGTCAAGATGGCAGAGTAGAACGACACTCTCTCACTCTCTCTTTCGAGAACACCGGAATCAAAACTAACTGCTGAACAATCATCAACAGGAAGACACTGGAACTCACCAAAAAAGATATCCCACATGCAAAGACAAAGGAGAAGCAACAATGAGACTGTAGGAGGGGCGCAATCACAATAAAATCAAATCCCACCCAGTCACACTGGGTGGGTGACTCACAAACCGGAGAACACTTATACCACAGAAGTCCAGCCATTGGAGTGAAGATTCTGAGCCCCATGTCAGGCTTCTGAATCTGGGGGTCCGGCAATGGCAGGAGGAATTCCTAGATAATTACACTTTGAAGGCTAGCGGGATTTGATTGCAGCATTTTGACAGGACAGGGGGAAACAGAGACTCCACTCTTGGACGGCACACACAAAGTAGTGTCTACATTGGGACCCAGAAGAAGGAGCAGTGACCCCATAGGAGACTGAACCAGACCTACCTGCTAGTGTTGGAGGGTCTCCTGCAGAGGTGGGGGGTGGCTGTGCCTCACTGTGAGGACAAAGACACTGGCAGCAGAAGTTCTGAGAAGCACTCCTTGGTGTGAGCCCTCCCAGAATCCACCATTAGCTCCACCAAAGAGCCCGGCTAGGCTCCAGTGTTGGGTCGCCTTAGGCCAAAAACCAACAGGGAGGGAACCCAGCCCTACCCATCAGCAGACAAGCAGATTAAAGTTTTACTGAGCTCTGCCCACCAGAGCAACAGCCAGCTCTACCCACCACCAGACCCTCCCATCAGGAAACGTGCACAAGCCTCTTAGATAGCCTCATCCACCAGAGGGCAGACAGCAGAAGCAAGAAGAACTACAATCCTGCAGCATGTGGAACAAAAACCACATTCACAGAAAGATAGACAAGATGAAAAGGCAGAGGGCTATGTACCAGATGAAGAACAAGATAAAACCCCAGAAAAACAACTAAATGAAATGGAGAGAGGCAATCTTCCAGAAAGAGAATTCAGAATAATGATAGTGAAGATGATCCAGGACCTCAGAAAAAGAATGGAGGCAAAGATCGAGAAGATGCAAGAAATGTTTAACAAAGATCTAGAAGAATTAAAGAACAAGCAAACACAGATGAACAATACAATGACTGAAATGAAAAATACACTAGAAGGAATCAATAGCAGAATAACTGAGGCAGAATGGATAAGTGAGCTGGAAGACAGAATGGTGGAATTCACTGCTGCAGAACAGAATAAAGAAAAAAGAATGAAAAGAAATGAAGACAGCTGAAGAGACCTCTGGGACATTAAACGCAAGAACATTTGCGTTATAGGGGTCTCAGAAGGAGAAGAGAGAGAGAAAGGACCGGAGAAAATATTTGAAGAGATTATAATGGAAAACTTCCCTAACATGGGAAGGGAAGTAGCCACCCAAGTCCAGGAAGTGCAGAGAGTCCAATACAGGATAAACCCAAGGAGAAACACACCAAGACACAGAGTAATCAAATTGGCAAGAATTAAATACAAAGAAAAATTATTGAAAGCAGCAAGGGAAAAACGACAAATAACATACAAGGGAACTCCCATAAGGTTAACAGCTGATTTCTCAGCAGACACTCTACAAGCCAGAAGGGAGTGGTATGATATACTTAAAGTGAGGAAAGGGAAGGACCTACAACCAAGATACTCTATCCAGCAATGATCTCATTCCGATTCCATGGAGAAATCCAAACCTTTACAGACGAGCAAAAGCTAAAAGAATTCAGCACCACCAAACCAGCTCTACAACAAATGCTAAAGGAATTTATCTAAGTGGGAAACACAAGAGAGGAAAAGGACCTACAAAAACAAACCCAACACAATAAAGAAAATGGAAATAGGAACATACATATCGATAATTACCTTAAACATGAATGGATTAAATGCTCCAACCAAAAGACACAGGCTTGCTGAATGGATACAAAAACAAGACCCATATATATGCTGTCTACAAGAGACCCACTTCAGGCTTAGGGAAACATACAAACTGAAAGTGAGGGGATGGAAAAAGATATTCCATGTAAATGGGAATCAAAAGAAAGCTGGAGTAGCAATACTCATATCAGATAAAATAGACTTTAAAATACAGAATGTTATAAGAGACAAGGAAGGACACTACGTAATATTCAAGGGATCAATCCAAGAAGAAGATATAACAATTATAAATATATATGCACCCAACATAGGAGCACCTCAATACATAAGGCAACTGCTAACAGCTCTAAAAGAGGAAATTGACAGTAACACAATAATAGTGGGGGACTTTAACACCTCACTAACACCAATGGACAGATCATCCAAACAGAAAATTAATAAGGAAACACAAGCTTTAAATGACACAATAGACCAGATAGATTTAATTGATATTTATAGGACATTCCATCCAAAAACAGCAGATTATACTTTCTTCACGAGTGCACACGGAACATTCTCCAGGATAGATCATATCTTGGGTCATAAATCAAACTTCAGTAAATTTAAGAAAATTGAAATCATATCAAGCATCTTTTCTGACCACAATGCTATGAGATTAGAAATCAGTTACAGGGAAAAAAACGTAAAAAACACAAATACATGGAGGCTAAACAATACATTACTAAATAACCAAGAGATCACTGAAGAAATCAAAGAGGAAATCAAAAATTACCTAGAGACAAATGACAAT